GTTCCACGAGCCTCAGCTGCCACTGTATTTTTCTCTGAATGTTCCTTGCTGGGCAGTACACAGGGAGAATATTTTGTGCCAGATTCTCCTCTGGGCTTTGAGGCAAATATCAGTAATTCTGTTGATTTGCATGTACAGATGAACTTTTTGTAGATAGGATGGAAAAGGGAAATGGAAAAGGAGTTGCTCCAAATTTGAGTGGCCCAATCACACTAAAAATGAAATATAAATTGAAAACGTTTTTATTTCTTTTTTTTGGCCTAGTAGGTGGGGAAAACATGCAAAGTTATAGGGCTCTATTAAGAGATTAAGCCAGCACCTAGAAGCATAAAAGTCAAAAGAGCAAACGAGGAGGAGGGCATGGGAAGAATATTCAGCCCTTCCTATTGAATGAAAAACAGTAAGAAAACTGCCTCTGGTTGTTACCCATAGGCAACAAGTGTTATATGTAGCCAAGAGCAGATGCCCCAAGCTCTTGGTGGCCCAAGGCCTACCGTGGCTGGCCCACTTTCAGTCCTAGCTGGACCAGGGCGGCTGGCTTGGGAGGGGAGGAGGTGGGGGGATCTCAGGGGAAATGGGGATCACAGCCGGGCTGGGGGACTGTGGGGGAGGCCGGGAGTGCTGGTGCTCTTCTTTACAGGGCAAATCCTGCTTCTGAGACCGTTTAGGTGCACAGTAAAACCAGACAGTCTCCAAGCTTCCTGTGGATGAGGGAGAGTGGCACATTCTTCGCCAGGATGCAGGAGTTGCAGAGGTGTTCCTGTGGAGAGAAGAGGTGGCTGAGGCCTCCAGCTGCCACTAGCACACAGGTCCCCTCCTGAACAGCAGGGCCCAGAGCGGCCAAGGCTCCCTAGCATGGCTGCAGCTGCTGGCACAGCTTGGCCCAGCTGGAGAGCTGCCCCTCAAGGCCCCAGTGAGCAGGGGATGGCTCTGGGCAGGGTCCCTGGCCAGGAGCAGGCCCCAGAGCGCCTCTGCCTTTCAAGGGCAATCTCGTTCCCACTCTTCCTCCTGCCCACCTTGCTTTGCCTCTGCCCGCTGCTCCTGGGGCTGCTCTTGGCCAGGCAGCCCCTGTGGGAGCCAGCATTGGCTGCAGTACAAGTGGGCTCCTCAGGACAAGGCCCAGCAATTCAGAGGCCAATGAAAGGCCTGGGCAGCAGCAGAACTCTCAGCAGAATTCTGTGGACTACCATTGACTACAAACAAGTGCACAGCAGCATGCCTATGTGTCAGGCTCCCAGTGCTGTGTGTAGAGTTTTAAGAAAACTCTGGAAAAAAATCAACAAATTACCGTCTGATCTTGTAGACTTTCCGGATCCCAAAAAAACAGCATATAAATGCAAGTTGCACAGTGATAACTGTCACAACTGAGTCTACGACGCAGGTTTTCCGAACATCCTGCGGGCGGACAATTCCAGAGATGGGCGCTGAATCCTTAATATCGATTCCTGTTGTAGTGATAACATCTGTGAGAGCTATGAGCAGCCTTGAGCCCAAGCTGTGCTCCACTGCTGAGCTGGCAGCACGCTGGATACAGCCAGGACATTCTCTGTCTACCTTACCATCCCTTGGCACAGGCTGTGCCCCCCAACAGAGCCCAGAAGGCCGGGAGCAGAACCCCGGGGACAGCGCAGCCACTTGGGCAGTGGCTCCTTCCAGGGACACGGGCCAAAGCCATCCCTGAGCAGCCACAGCCACCCCTGACCCTCCCTTCCACTTGACAGCTCCCCTAGCCCAAGGGGACAGAGCCAGGCCCTGTCAGGACACACTGGAGCCTTGGCCTCCTCCTCTGCCCTTTCCCCACCATGGACACCCAATGCAGCCGCTCCCAGGGTGTTTCGGGATGCGTCTCGTACGGAGGGGCCCCAGCAGGACTGCTCAGCCTGGCTGAACCTGGCACAGCAATATACCTTCTGTGCCACTGTCTGCTATCTCCTCCCTTTCTGTAGAGGCATCTGGAATGAAGCTGTTGCATTCTGCAGGAAGTTCTGCCTTCTGCAAAGACTTCTGGTCCATCTCTGGAGAAAGGAAGAGGCACAGCTGAATCAGATGGATCTACTGCCCATCGGGGAAGTGGCTTCTTCAGGGAGTAATACTTGTCAAAGACATATCCATGTCTTGGTCATGATTGCTTGATCAGGAAAAGTCCACGGCTCTTTGGGCACACACAAGACTCTCCCTCCTCCTGAAGCTGCCCCTCTTGATCTACCCTGAGACTGGGAAATTGCAGGGGATTTCAGAGTGTGCATGGCCAAGGTGCAGCTTGAGCTCCCTGACAGCTGATGCCAAATGCCTTCCTGCAGAGGCTGGGGAGAAGCTGCAGCCAGGCCAGGCTGGGGAAACAGCCCCGCAGGCCATGAAAGCAGCAGCAGGGCAGCCAGGCTGACATGGATCCCTTCTTCCTGTGCCACCATGTCCAGATGTGCAGAGAAAGGCCCCAGCTGCTGAGGGAAATGCACCCACCATGACGTCTGTCCCGATCACTCAGCCTCACATCCATGTATTCCGATGTCTCCAGGGACTTGATATCTTCTGTAGGCTTGTTCCTCCCTCTAGGAGGACCTTAACAGAAAGTATTTCCATTTCACATGAATGTGTCCAACAAACCAGGGCTCAGCCTGTGGGCTCAGCAGGGACACACTACTCACCCCTGCGATGGGAGCCGAGCTTGCGTTCAGGAATCAGGAAAGTAGCTGGGAAAGTCCTCTCTGCAGACACACCTGTAACTCAACAGCCACAGAAGCTTCTGTCACCTGTTTCTTGACAGGTTGTTAATGATTATGCTCTGAGCAGAAGTTGAGAACTTACCTGCAGAACCTCCTAATGGTTCCAAGCCATCTTCCATCCCAGCTGCTGGAGAAGCTGTCTCAGCACCCTCATCTAGAAGGGAGCACAGATCAGAACCATTCCAATGTGTGCTGAGATCGACTTCTGCCTTTGGGATCTGGGCACGGCAAGGGGTTTGGGTAATGCTGTGGGAGCCAGATGTCAATGGACATGGCCAAAGCTGCAGAGGGCTCTAGGGAGCTCTGGGCTGCCTCCTGGTCACTCTCAACACCCTTTTTGTGAAACATCCCTGAAGGGCAGGCACTGCCAAGCAGCAGAGATGGCAGCTCAAGCCTCAGCAGGGCTCAGGCCCAGGGGCACAGCAATTGCTCTCTGAGACTGTGCCTGGCATGACCTCCCTCCCTTCACCAGAGGCTGCCCATGGTCCCGTGTTTCCTTCGGGAAACACCGCCTTCAGCAAAGCCATTTTCTTCATCTCTGGAGAAAGGAAGAGGCACAGCTGGATGTGACAGAACTGTTCTCCTTCCAGGGAGGTGGCATCATCATGAGGCAATAATGGTCAAAATCATGGATAAAGATTAGGAAATCATATCAAAGTTTGGGATTAGCCAGGACCTTTCCTCCTCCAAACAGCCCCTACACCTGAATTACCCCGAGACCGGGAAATTGCAGGGGGTGTCAGGGTGTGCATGGCCAGTGCTGCTGTTTGGGCTCCCTGTCAGCTGATGCCAAATGCCTTCCTGCAGAGGCTGGGGAGAACAGCCAGGCCAGGCTGGGAAACAGCCCTGCAGGCCGTGAAAGCAGCAGCGGGGCAGTGAGGCTGCTTTGGATCCCTTCCTGCTGTGCTGGGCACGGCGTGTCCAGATGTGCAGAGAAAGGCCCTGGCTGCTGAGGGAATTACACCCACCACGGTGTGTCTCCAGATCACTCAACATCTTGTCCAGAAGTCGGGATGCCTCCAGGGATTTCCCGTCTTCTATGTCTTGGTTCGTCCATGCAGGAGGACCTGAATGGAAAGCAATTCCATTTCTCCTTCAATCCTGAGGGGCTGGGAGTGCACCTGGATGACTGCTGCCCTCCAAGGCACTCCCTCATCTCTGCCTTCCCCTCAGGAGCAGGGGCAGGGGGAACCACGTTCCTGCAGTGGCCCCACACAGGGATGGAAGGAGCCCCTTGCATGGCAGTCAGGGGAGAAAGAACACCCTGGAGCTGCCAGAAGCTCTGAACTGAACCCCAGGCAGGGCCAGGGCTTGACAGCGACAACGGGAGCAGCTCAGGTTCCCTGGGGCTGGCAAAGGAGCCACACAAGGCACAGCCCTGGGGCACAGCCCTGGCCCCTTCCCTCTTGCTCTTCTCCATGGCTGCACAGAGCACATGGAAGGAGACACTGGCATTGCACATGGGAAGGAGATTGACAGCTAAATGCTCCTTCCTCCCACTGACAGTGATGTGTGGGATCACTCAGGGCTCCAGAAGGGAGCAAGGTGAGGTTTCCACAATCCATCAGTCTTCAGACTCTTAAGGGAAATGGCACATGAGTGAGCTCTTGCCACATTGACACTGATTATTCTGTGCAGAAAGAGACACTGAAAACTTGCCTCCAGTATCTGGCAAAGTCTTCAAACCACCACTGACCAGCATTTCCATGTACTCCATGTCACGATCCCAATCTAGAAGGGAGCACAGATCAGAACCATTTCCATGGTGTGCTTGCATCCGCTTCAGACTTAGGGAACTGGGCACTGCAAGGGGTTTGGGTAAGGCTGTGGGAGCCACATTGTCAATGGACATGGCCAAAGCTGCAGAGGGGTCTGGGGAACTCTGGGCTGCCTCCTGGTCACTCTCAACACCCTTTCCATGCTCTGTGAAACATCCCTGAAGGGCAGGCACTGCCAAGCAGCAGAGATGTACAGGTCAAGCCTCAGCAGGGCTCAGGCCCAGGGACACAGCAATTACCCTCTGAGACTGTGCCTGGCATGGCCTCCCTTCCTGCAGCAGACGCTGACCATGAGCCACTGTTTTCTCTGGGAAACACCGCCTTCAGCACAGCTTTCTGGTCCTTCTCTGGAAAAAGAAAGTTTTACAACCGGATCAGATGGAACTGTGTCACAGATGGGAGGTGGCATTTTCAGGAATGAATGCTGGTCAAAGACATAGATAAGGATTAGGAAATTATATCAACTTTTGGGACTGGTCAGGACCCTTCCTTCTCTAAACACCCAGCATTCCTGGTGTACCCTAAGATGGGGAATTGCAGGGGATCTCAGGGTATGCATAGCTGAGGTGCACTTTGGGCTCCCTGTCAGCTGATGCCAAATGCCTTCCTGCAGAGGCTGGGGAGAAGCTGCAGCCAGGCCAGGCTGGGAAACAGCCCTGCAGGCCGTGAAAGCAGCAGCAGGGCAGTGAGGCTGCCATGGATCCCTTCCTGCTGTGCTGGGGACGGCGTGACGAGATGTGCAGAGAAAGCCCCTGGCTGCTGAGTCTCAGGAGAAGGATGAGGGACATGGACCCACCTTGTCCTCCCTGCTGCATTTCCTTCAGCATTTGCTGCATGGTATTAGATGGTTCACGAGGTTTCTTGTATCCAGTAGCTTTGTTCCTTCCTGTTGGAGGACCTTAGAGAAAAATTTCCAGGAATGGATTCCACAAAATCATTGCTCATCCAGTGGTGTCAGCAGGGACACACTACTCACCCCTGTGATGGGAGCTAGGCTTGTGTGCAGCATCCTGAAAAGTGTCTGGGAAAATCCTCCCTGCAGACACACCTGTAACTCAGCAGCCACAGAAGCTTCTGTCATCTCTGCTAGCAGGATGACTTTTGGGCTCTGAGCTGGCAGCATTCCCAGGGGGAAAGGCCTTGACCTACCCTCGCCATCTCCGTGAGGCTCAGTCCTGGATGTGAGTAGGGAAGCTAGATCACCTTCACCAAGGGGCTTAGCTGCAAGGAAAAGTAGGACAGAACAGCTCCTGTGGCTCTGTAGGAGATCCTCAGGCTCCCTGGGGCCAGCAAAGGAACCGTGCAAGGTACAGGCCCGGGGCACAGCCCAGGGCCTGGCCCCTTCCCTCTCTGCTCTTCTCCGTGGCTGTACAGAGCACATGGACACACTGGCATTGATGCTCCTTCCTCCCACTGACAGCGATGCTGTGGGATCACTCAGATCCAGTGTCCAGATGTGCAGAGAAAACCCCCAGCTGCTGAGTCTCAGGAGAAGGCTGAGGGACATGGACCCACCTTGTGCTCCCTGCAGCATTTCCTTCAGCATTTGCTGCATGGTATTGGATGGCTCATGGGGTTTTTTGTGTCCAGTAGCTTTGTTCCTTCCTGTTGGAGGACGTTAGAGAAAAATTTCCCAGGAATGGATTCCACAAAATCATTGCTCATCCAGTGGTGTCAGCAGGGACACACTACTCACCCCTGTGATGGGAGCTA